CCCTGGACACTGTAACCGTCATAAATATGGGTTGGTTGCCAAGTGTCTTAATTTTGATCACATGGCGTGGGATTGCTGCAATGGCTGTAAGTGTGAAAAATGGTCATGTCACTTTTTTCAGTGCCATTGTAACTTTGAATGGTCACTAAATGAACTGTTGTAGGTTGAGGACTATCTGTCCTAAGAATTTTGAAAATTGCTCTGAATAACTAGCAGGAAATGCCCGGGATTGTTATTTCTCCTACAGATAATTATAACATTAGAAAAACAAAGTAAAAAAATAGACACAATTTTTCCAAGCACATTTCCGCAGAAATTTAGGGGAGATAAGGCGGAATCAAGACAATATTCTGAATATAATCCATGACCTTATATCATCAATGAGCAGATTTCATGTTGCCTAAGGGCAAAATTCTTGATGTACTTCCATGCAGCTTATATTTGTTAAGTTAGTTTTTTAGGCTGTGTTCCTTCAAGCACAGATTGGTTGTTTCTAATTTCCTCAATCTTTGGCATACTATGATGCCATAAACTGTGAAACTGGCACCACTTCTTGTATCTTTTTATATTAAGTAAACAGCAGACATTCTCCTTTGGGAGAACTACTCTTATGACCTGCAGAAGCCATTCTGGATAAGAAGAAAGCAAAAGACTCATTCAGCTTTCTCCTACTTGCTGGAGATAATGACAATAAATACTTAAAAATGAAGATTTCCTTCCAGATACTCTGTACTTTATCTGTAAAATCTTGTTCTGTTTTATAGTTCTAGTTTATACAGATCTCTTAATTTTTCACCTAGGTTATAAAAATACTTGAGTGCTACAGTATAGCAATTTGGCATAAAAATAGGAGATCATATGATTCAATATGACTCTACAGAAAAAGATTTCTTCACATACAAAGCAAGTATATTAGGGTTAGATTAGGAGAGAGAGATAAGGATGACTTTCTATGTGAAAGGAAGAGTGATTAGTCATGTGACTTCCCATTTAATAGTCCACAATTCTATGCATACATATCTACTAGTATTATTATTACAGAAAAACTAAGAAAGATAAAACATCCAACAGAGTAGTACTTAATAGAGACTTAATATTTATCAATATGCTTTAAATGTCACAGGATCAGGGATGAAATTCAGCAGGTTCTTATAGGTTCTGGAGAACTGATAGCGGAAATTTTGAATAGTTTGAAGAATCGGCTGGCTCCAGAGTTGCGTGGGAATGGAGATTTTGCAATATCCTTCCCCCAGGAGTGGGAATGGGGATTTTGCAGTATCCTTCCCCTGGAGTAGATGGGAATGGAGATTTTGCAGTATCCTTCCCCTGCCACACCCACCAAACCACGCCCACAGAACCCGGTAGTAATTTATATATCTTTCTATTACTTTCTACACTAGATGATAAGAGTCTTTTGTTTTCCAGAACTGTGAATCTATAAATTCAAAGCTATCCAATACAATAATTGAAAAATAATTGTTGGTATTTTTTAAAATAGGTAGCCTACCTTATTATGCTCATAATTGTATGGGATTCTGAGTGTATCCATAGCTCTGATCATAGACTGTATTGCTGTAAATATATTCTGATACACCAGCTTTGTGAACCCTCTTTTGTCTTCCTCAGAATATCCTGAACCGTGAATGATTCTCATTTGTTTGATAAATGTGCTTTTGCCACTTTCTCCTGTACCTGCAAAACATTTGAAAAGAGATGCATCGTTAGATTACAATGGCTGTTGAAAAAGCATCAGTTCCACAGCTTTACTTGCCTATTTTAAGAATTAAACTAATAAAAGAATATAAACCCTAACAATTAACTTATTCCATTTCACAATACTAGATTAATGAATTAAATCAAATCTAAAACCTTTGTCACTATAAATGTTACTTAATCTCTGCCTTGTTGTCAAATGAAGAAGAAGTAATTTGCACCTAACAATTAAACATTTTATATACAGTGTAAATCTCATTTTCCAAGTGAGAATATTCTCTGTCACTAATAGTCAAGTAATTATCTACTTCATCACGGTACCACTAGAACCTTATGTGATAATGAAATACAGAAAAATATCCATACCATCAAAAGTAGCTTTAGACCCCTTCAATCAATTTTAAAAGCATTTTGTTCATAATTCCCCAACTATGTTTACACTTTAGAATTAGTTTTAATATTTTTGTTAATTTGCATTTGGAAGTATTTATGTGCCCTCGCCCCTTTCCTATAAGGGACCCGAGTAAACCTTGTCCTTTTCTACAAGAAAATGTTTTACAAACATACAAAATGTAGAAGACATTATATATGTGACATAACAGCAGAGAGGCAATGCTTCTATTTTTGTGTCACAATGAACAAGTTCATGCACTAAAAAAAGAGAGAAACTCATATTCATCTCCTGATTTCACTCTAAATGTTTAAAGTAGATGTCCCCAAGGAAAACAATTCTATATATCAGCCTGCCAACCATTCAACTATTTTTTTTTATATCCAGGATGAAAATTAGAAAAATGAGAACATCCAAATTGTAATCAGGCAGATAGCAGGAAAAAGAAAATTTTCCCTACATAATGAAATGAGTGAGTGACTTTTAACCGTTTTTCAGTTTCTGTACCTTCAATTTTTATTTTGATATCTGGTTCTCTAGTCCTTGATGTTGCACATACCTGGCCACTAATACTATAGAACATGATTCTTAATGTTATTTTTCAAGATCTCATAAACTGTCTAATAAGGAATTACTAACCATTTTGTTTGCAGTTCAGCCAAGATGGACGATTTATATCACATGTAGACAATGCTAGCTGTTGGTAGATTACAACCAGCCTTCTCCCTTATAATGAAGGATGCTTGAATGGAATGAAGAAAGCTGGACTGTATTTGAATTTTATTTGAATTCAAACACATTGCAGATTTACAAAGGAATACAGCATAAAAGACAGAAACTTTGTTGTGGTGGTCTACAAGTACCACTCCAACAAGTAAACTTAAAAGAAAGAGTATGTCACTCAGTTTAATCAAATCTACTTTTTCCACTGACAAATTTAAGATTGCACTATGAGACTTCGAATGTATTTGTTAAAAATGAAGAGAACATTTTGAAAATCCAATTTTGACATTCATTTGAATTCCAGCATATTTTAATATTAAACTGCTATTGTAAATATTTGTTAACTGCTCAGAGACAGTGAGATAGGTGGTATATAAATGTGATTAATACCATAAATAAATAGTTGACCCAATATAACCCGGCTCTTTGTTTTAAGATGGAGTGAAGGGAAACTCTGGCAAGTTTTCTTTGATAATGTCTCTGGTCTAAAGTTCATCAACAATGAATTGCAGCAAACTTTGTACCATTTATCTAAAGATGAAGTGTCAGTAAGATAAAGGAGTTGTTGATTAACTTGCTTCTTCAAATTCATTAACGGGCATGAAAACTCTAAGTGGCCTATTACATATACAACAGCAAAAAAACTGTTGAACCTTTATGCTTTCTATGTGCCAGATGCAACTTGTGGAGTTCACTGAATTGAGTTTTGTTTTGCACTGGTCATACACTGAATTCTTAGTGGTCTTTCATAACCACTTTATTTCACCAATTTCACTGGATCTATTTGGACTAATCAGTGTGGAACAAAAAAATGACCTCAAATGTTACAGTCAACTTCCAGCTCAACCCAGCATCTGCCAAAGTATTTCAGGGAAAGGGCTACCCAGCCTCTCTTTGAAGGCCACTACTTGTCTTGCCTGACTATCCTTTAGATATCTGAAGGCTACTACAATCCCTCTTCCTCCCTCCCTACCCCCTTCTCTTCTCTTTTCTGCAAGCTAAGTTTAATTAAACTGTTCCTCATAGGAGTTCATTTCCAGTTCCCTTACCAACTCAGTCCAATTTGTTGTTGTCCTTTCAGACTGCAGTACCCAGAGCCGGATACAGTATTCCAAGAGGGTTTTGACCAAGGCAGTGTAAATGGAACAATTACTTCCTGACTCTATGTTCCTGTTAGTACATCCCAAAATAGCACTGACTGTTTTAACAGCCACATGATACTATGGGCCTATATTCAACTTTTCTTCTATTAGAACATCTAGATGTTTTTCATATATACTACTCTCAAGCCAGTTCTCTTCTTTCCTATACTTGTACCTTTCATTTTCCCTGTTAAACTTCATTCTACTTGGGTCCACTGATGAAATTTATCTATAATATTTTTAGAAGTAGAAGTATTGTGGAAAACAAACCAAAGGTACTACCAATAGTAATAGGCCTTTTGGGAACAATCCAAAAACACCACTTGAACTCCATCAGCATTGACAAAATCACCACCAGTCAATTGCTTTGCTTGGAATAGCTTATTCCTGAGACAACACTTTAATACCAACAAAGAACATCTGCCTCTCCCAGGTGCTTGAGGAGTTGATGGGTAGTTAAAAATGCCCAAAACAATCTAAACATCTGGTTGTGTGACCAACTATAACAATTTTTTAAAAATTATGTGTTATCAGGGCAATGGATATGGTACTTATCTCAATCTTCCAATCAAAGTTGAAGTAAAAAGTAAAGCCAGTAACAAGTACCATTTGGTTTTATTTATTAGTCAAAAATGAATCCATATAGGAATTATGATCATGTAGCCCATATTTTACCATTTTGTTCATGAAAATATCGTAAGACTTTGCTGAGGTCAAGGTATGCTATATTCATGGCATTCCCCTGATCTAGTAATTCTATTCAGAAAAAAGGGTATTTTGCCAGGACTTCCTTGGGTCAAACCTATGCTTGCCCTTATTAACTTTGCATTCATATCTAAGTGTTCATAAACTTGATGCTTAATAATCTGCTGATGGACCTTGTCCCATGCTGCTGTCAAACTGATGTCTGTAATTTCCTGCATTGTCCTCCTTTCTCTCTCTCTTTTTTTTGAATACAGAGGCAACATTTACATTTCTCCGTTCTCCTGAAACCTTACCAGTTCATCAGTAGTTGTGAAAGAATATAGTAAGCAATATGATACTTCACTACTCTGGATTGTACTCAGTTTATATTTCAAAAGCCAAATTATGTCATTGTTTAGATTACAATTAACATGCTTATTATACATATTTTATTAAGAACAGGTTAAATGTGATAGAATGTAGAGGAATGTGGAAATGACATGCTGATATGCACTAAGGGAGGAGGGAGGATAAAACTTAGTCCTGGAAACAGAAAGTGTGAGAAAGAAACTCAAAATAATGCCTCTTGACTCTGTTGCTATGAGAGGAGACAATGGCAGGCTTTCATAATTAAGTTGCTATGCTCTACAATAATAAAGTAGTATTCCTCTGATTTGATCTACTTTGAAGGGCAGATATTGAGCTGATAATCATGTCTTATTATCCCAAACTTTTTTTACCTGGTCAAGGACTAATATCAGCATTTTCATTCCCATTGAAGTTAACATTTATAGTGGAAGGAAAAAAGCCATATAAGGACAATGCTGTTGCACCATCAATTTTCCCCAAGCGAACTCAAATGTCGGAATCTAAAATGTGTATCAATTCACAGCATGACCACAATTTTTGTGTACAGACTCCTCGGCTTACAACCATTCATTTAGTGATCATTTGAAGTTACAATGGCACTGAAAAAAAATTGACATGACCATTTTTCACACTTACAACTGTTGCAGCATCCTCACGTAATCAAAATTGGGATGCTGTAAACTGGCTCATATTTATAACGGTTGCTGTTTCATATAATCACCTTTTGTGACCTTCTAATAATCAGATTCACTTAACAACCCTATTGCCAACTTAAACACTGCAGTGATTCATTTAACAACTGTGGCAAGAAAGGTTGTAAAATGGGGCAAAACTCACTTAACTATTTGTCTCACTTAGCAATATAAATTTTGGGGTATCTCCTTACCTAAACAAACAAACAAACAAACAAACAAAAAAACAGAATGACCAAAGATGCTCAAAAAACCAGTGGGACCAGGAGCGATTTCTGATTTCCCGATGGCTTCCCCACTGACTTTTCTTGAGGGAATCTGGCATTGGAAAATTCTTTCTTTCCTTTCCCTTCCTTTTCTAAAGACAGGAAAGTGGCTGCTGCTGGATGGGGGAGGGAGCCCAGGATTGAGATACTTGTTGGGAAACTGTCATGGAACACTGTAAATAAAGATCATGTGGTCAGTTCAACAGTGTAGCAACAGCCAATAACACTGAAGCAGCCACAACTTTTCCAAATTTCTTTCTGTCCTGAGTTATGGTCCTAGATTTGGACATATTTTCTATGCCCATTTGAGGTACTGTGGTTCAAAAAATGTTGCCCTATGACGCATATTTTGCCCAATTAAAGATCACACACACATATGTATACATATATACATAAAGAGTTGGTGTGAACAAGCAAGTGGCTATATAAAATTTCTAAATAAATAAATAAAATACATACACAAACACACGCACAGCCCACAAAGACAGCACACAACTCAACTGATGTCATGCATGAGATGCACGTATCATTCCCTGGCCTTATGTGACATCGTTAAGAGTACAGAAGGCGACATTATGGTGGTGGGGGGAGGGCAGCTGTTTCTCCAAAACGAAGAGGAGGAAGACGGACTTAGCATAAAAGGAAGGATTTTGTAAAAAGCCTGTTTCCTGGGAACCTGAATACATCAGTAGTACTATTATGCCAAGTACTC